TGTTTGTCAATGAGCGACGTCGTTCCCGATTATACGTCGCTTGTTAAAAAAGTATATGGAAAAATAAAAATCAAGTTTAAGTCATTTTATTCAACTTTACGTCTGTCTGCCACAAATATTGAAGTCATAATATCACTAGAAAAGCGTTTAAAGCACTTAAAATATACACATTTACAAGTATGTACTGTATTTACAGTACATGCATTCATAAATTTAGATTACTTTTTTCTGTACTATATTAAAAACTAAAATTTATTTGTTTGTAAGCTTAAAATAGATCCTTATTAACTATATATTATTAAAAATGCATTAATAAATAAAATACAGAACTGGGAATGGTAATTTATGGTTTAGCCTAGTGACAAGTAGATTCGACTTACATCGCTTTTTCTGGAACCAAACGTAAGGCGAGGTATACCTGTATTTCTTCAAAAGGTAATGATTATTGATTAGTTTTAAACACTTTTTAGTTAACTTGGTTTCATTAGAGATGATAAAAAAACACTAATTTTTTGTTTCTTGTCGAAGTGCAAAGAGAAAGTCACCAACAACTCTAGCAGTTGAGACATGTCCCCTTCGATAGTTAATATTTGTTATTTTAATAATGTATAATTTTAAAATAATTTATTTTTAATTTTATTAATATATATTCATTCAATTTTAGGTTCAAACTGTAAGTTTATATACTGCTGAGATTGAAAGGAATCAAAACATGTTAATATGCATTAAATCTATTGATTCAAAGTTACAAGATTTATCAATTTATCAAGAATTGTTAGGGACAAATGCCTTTATATTTGTCATAGGATATTGGGAATCATCAATGCAGGTAAATTATAAAATATAATTTATTCAAAGTGATTCAAAGTTAAATAATGACCATATATTATATATGTCATAAACAATGTGACCATATATTATATTCATAAAATAAAATAGTCAGTTTTTTAATTATGAAAATGAGATATATACAGTAATACCTCAGTTTTTGTTGACTTTGGTTATCGTTGGTTTTGGTTTTCGTCTATTTTTTTCTGCGGAAAATTTTTGTCTCAGTTTTTGTTGGTTGCCTCAGATTTTGTCAGCGTTCTCTCATGGCCTCACTGCAGGTATAGATTTGGATTTTTCGGGGCCTATTTTAACCTAACCTATTAACTATTTTTTACTGTGCTAACCGAGGGGGCTGAAGCGGAACTTCTCCCCACTTACCGGCTTGGCTGTCAGAGAATGGCTATAGGAGGGCTAATGATATGAGTGGGGAGGAGTCGGAAGTCGTGACCAGGTGTCCAATAGATTACACAGGTTTAAAATAGACGACAAATTTAATAAACAGATGAGAAATTATACATAAAGATAATAAATATAACACTCGTGTATCAAGATATAAATAGGTATTCTAAAATCCTAACCTAACCTAATGCTAAAGTTTGAGAGAGACCTTACGTTGGAGAGAGATAATTATGGCAAGGGTTTACCTCGTAGGAAACGTTCTCATACTGGTTACTGGTCATAAAGGAAGAAGGCTGTCTTTCGACTTAGCCTGAAGGAAGGTGACTGAATGAAGGTGGGGTGGGAGGGAGAATAGGATGGGTATAGAAGAGAGGATGGGATAGGTTGGGGGTAAGGGATAGCATAGGTTGGAAGTAAAGGTTGGGGTAGGTATGGATCCCAATGACGACTTGCATCTCGAATAATATAAAGTCAGTAGTACAACTGAATGCAGAGACCAATCCGGTAGCAGAGTGTTACAACAAGAACTGGATGCTAATATATACACCATCCTGTGGTTAATACAACTAATACCTTATAATTAATACAACCGAGATTAAACAAAGTCTTGCCGGAAGAGTTTAGTAGTAGTGATGATACTACAACACTAGGGGTAAGAGATGACAGTAGTACATAGCTGGTTAACATTGCAGATACACTTGCAGAGGGTGACAAATGTACATATCCAATTAACTAAGTTGCAATCACGCTTGCAGAGGGTGATCGGTTGCAACCTATTTGGTTGGTGGTAGAAGGACGGGAACCCGCCCAAAAGAAGTCCAGGGCTCAGGTTGCTGAGTTGATGGCAAAGATGCTGCAGTCCTTCGCGAATTTGTCGAGTTGGCTATATGCCTCCTTGGTTGCACAGAAGAACTCCCATGGCGGAAGTCAGATTGTACCGTTGGTTATACAATAGTTTATGAGTGCATTCCTTGGTGTGTCGTGATTCGGGCAGTCGGTTAGAATGTGACTGATGTCACCTGTAGTGAACCCGTCACAGTCGCAGTGATCGTTGTTCCTCTTTTTAATACGGTATAAATAGCTAGGGATGTTCCCGTGGCCAGTTAGCACCTGGGTAAGGTGGTAAGAGGGAGAGAGGTAGTTCATACCCTGACGGTTCTTGATGGAAACGTTCTCATATTATAGGGCGTTGATAAAACACTCTGTGATCGTCGTCTTATACTCCAAGGTGTCCTTTGAAGGCTATGTGGAGAGATGTCCTTCTCAGGTCGTGCGGCTATGTCTAGATGCGGTGTATGCTCCGTCGCTCCTAATCTGTAGAGAGTTCTTCCTGGTGAAGATCGCTCGGAGGTTTCTTCCGTTAACCTCTTCAAGGAGTAATTCCATCATATCAGGAGAGAATAGAAAAATATTCAAAGTTTTACCTTTCCATGGAGCAGCGATTATGAGCTTCGTAGATCCTGAGAGTGCTGGAAGAGTAGTCCACTGCGTTCTCTTCTCCCGACGATCGCTGTCCAGAGGGGTTTCTTCGGCGTTAGCTCCTTGGCTAAGTGCCCGGAGTAGAAAATCCAACCCCTTTATATACCCGATCTGCGTGGGAAAAATCTGGGAATTTGTTGACGTCTTTTGACATCTCTCCCTGATTTATTACTGTCTCCCGCACCGTAGAAAAACTTATCTCCTTGTATAGTCATTTTATCGTCCAGTCGCTTGGACGTATGGGGGTCACGTGACATCATGGTCCCTCGTCGATGACCTTCGGACGACGAAAGTCACCCTCGCTAACTACGCAGTTCATTGTCCGGGGTCTATTCCTCGGGTAACGGGGTGAGAACAGGAGTAATAACGGAAATAATGATGAAAAAACTCTCATAAGAGAGTCAGATTTTCACATTACTATATGATAAGTGCTCATTGTTGATGAATAAGTATTAAAAATTTATGATGATAATTCAATTTTTGGGAGTCCTATTAGTCCCTCTGTAAATCTGTCCCTGCCTCACTGCTAATTTTGTAAAAATAAAAGGCAACCCATGCATTTTCCTGCTCAGTGTGACATTATTTCTCATTGTGTGTGCATTGTCCCAAGTGTCTAGCCAAACAATTCCATTGCTTTCCTCTCCTTTTAGCTCCATTATGGGACCAAAGAAAGCTTCCAGAACCAGCAGCTCTTTGAATGCCATGTTAAATGTTCATTTGTTCTTTACATTAGTCTTTTATATTTGTTTTATATTAATTTCTTATTGTTTTTAGTATTAAACACTATATTTATTCTCTATAAAATGTGTTTTTGGTATGTATATTGGAGTGTCTAGAATGAATTAATTGGATTTACATTGATTCATACAAAAATAATTGCTTCAGTTTTTGTCGATTTAGGATTTCATCAATTGTTTTCAGACAGATTATTGATGAAAACAAAGATATCACTGTATTTTAGTAATTATAGAAATAAATTCCTCTAGGTTACAAAATTTGAAAGTAAAATTAACATGCTTGTTCAAAATTAAGTCAAATCTGAAAATTTTGGAGTCACTGTAATTTTTTTTACTCATTATCTTTAAGCTATCTTGCTTTGTTGATAAACATGCAAATTGCAAATTAACAAATATGTTTTTCTTCTCTGAGCAAACCTGTTTGGAGAATATAAAAAGTATGAAAAATATAAGTATCATTAAAAATTAATCCTTTTAGTTCCCAGCAATTTTTGATATTAATGTAATTAAACGTAAAAAATACTTAAAACTGAAAAAAACGAAAGAAATGCACTAATTTTGAAGAAAAAGCTTCAAATTTTATTTTACATTGTCTCGCCTTTCTGTGAAATCTGACACCAGTCATTGTGTTTACAGCTGGATGACCTTGAGAACAGCTGGTGTTGGATTTCCCAGGACATTCTCATAGAAGTCTCGGGAGGCGAAGGGTTTAAAGTAGGGTGAATACTAGCTGGCCGTATATTTTTAAATATTTTTTAAAAATTACGTTTTTTATTGCGATTCCCGACTCCCCCGACTTAATTAAACGTATATATAATAAAATCTATTAATTAAAAAAATTAAAAAANATATTTTTCTACTTAAAAATAAAACTAACAACATATTTTTATACATTATAATCCATTTTAAATTTCTTTTTACTTATTTTTAAAAATAAATTATTTAAATTTCAATATAGGTCTGCAGTGGAAAAACTGACTTTTTTAGTGATCCATAAGGATCACATGAAAAATTAAAACAATTTTTCCACTGCAGAATTCAGCATAAAAAACATTTATATGCTTTTTTATGCTGAATTCAAAAATGTTACTACTTTTTCCCTATCTCAAGGTTTTTCTACAAAACCATTTTTATTTGATAAATTGATGCTTTCTTCACATATTTCACACCCATATTAGTGATATGTTTCAGTAGCTGTAATTTATTTAATTATGTTGTTAAAAAAACAATGGTCACCTAGAAAACAATTACAACCTGACATAAAGAATATTGTGAGGAGCAGCTTGGTCAACCCAGAGAAAGTGCTGCTCCATCTCTGCATATTAAGCTGGAGTTAATGAAACAGTTCATAAAAGCTTTCATTTGAACTTTGGATTCTCTTGATCATCTAACTCAGGCATTTACTTTAAGAGGGGGAAAAATTCACTTTTGGCAACACTTTTAAAACATTATACATAAAATTTACAAAAACAAAAATTATTTAATTATAAATTTTAAGAGATTATTTTGCTTCTTATAGTGATTTAAAACCCATTTCCCAGAATTTAACAGATTCACAAAAGCATTTAATATTCAAAAGCCAACCATAAAATTTAGTATCCAAATAAATTAAATACATGTTTGTAGAAAAGGGCTGGCAGAATTACAATTTAATAAACATCTGGATACGAGTCCAATTTTTTTTGCCATGTCTAATCACCAGGAACAACTATTTCCATTGCAGGACAATCTTCTTTAGAGGCTATGCCTCTGCACAAATATGTAAAACAGTTTAAAATGTCCACAGGTGACAATCCCAACACAATTAAAAATATATTTGTTTATAGAAAAGGGCTGGCAGAATTGTGTTGGGATTGTCACCTGTGGACATTTTAAACTGTTTTACATATTTGTGCAGAGGCATAGCCTCTAAAGAAGGTTGTCCTGCAATGGAAATAGTTGTTCCTGGTGATTAGACATGGCAAGAAAAATTGGACTCGTATCCAGATGTTTATTAAATTGTAATTCTGCCAGCCCTTTTCTACAAACATGTATTTAATTTATTTGGATACTAAATTTTATGGTTGGCTTTTGAATATTAAATGCTTTTGTGAATCTGTTAAATTCTGGGAAATGGGTTTTAAATCACTATAAGAAGCAAAATAATCTCTTAAAATTTATAATTAAATAATTTTTGTTTTTGTAAATTTTATATATAATGTTTTAAAAGTGTTGCCAAAAGTGAATTTTTCCCCCTCTTAAAGTAAATGCCTGAGTTAGATGATCAAGAGAATCCAAAGTTCAAATGAAAGCTTTTATGAACTGTTTCATTAACTCCAGCTTAATATGCAGAGATGGAGCAGCACTTTCTCTGGGTTGACCAAGCTGCTCCTCACAATATTCTTTATGTCAGGTTGTAATTGTTTTCTAGGTGACCATTGTTTTTTTAACAACATAATTAAATAAATTACAGCTACTGAAACATATCACTAATATGGGTGTGAAATATGTGAAGAAAGCATCAATTTATCAAATAAAAATGGTTTTGTAGAAAAACCTTGAGATAGGGAAAAAGTAGTAACATTTTTGAATTCAGCATAAAAAAGCATATAAATGTTTTTTATGCTGAATTCTGCAGTGGAAAAATTGTTTTAATTTTTCATGTGATCCTTATGGATCACTAAAAAAGTCAGTTTTTCCACTGCAGACCTATATTGAAATTTAAATAATTTATTTTTAAAAATAAGTAAAAAGAAATTTAAAATGGATTATAATGTATAAAAATATGTTGTTAGTTTTATTTTTAAGTAGAAAAATATTTTTGTTACATTTAACTTTTAAATATTTAAAAGTTTGATTATTGGATAGAATATTATGTTGTTATGATAGTTAAATATTTATATTAACTTTTCTTTAAAATAACAGGAATTTCAAGATAAACTGGAAGAGGAAGGACAACGATTAATTGAATATATTAATTACAGACTTGTTTACCCTCCTGTTCCTGTATACATATTTGTTGTGAATAATCATTCTTCTAAATTAACAAATGAAGTTACTCTAATAATTGAAAATTCTCTTGATTTGCCATATTTAAAATCTAATAATTTAATTTTTGATTGGAAAATATCACTCTTGAATGGTGTTGGTAAACCAAATAATGATTTCCAGGTAATTAAATATAAAATTTCTAATGTTTTATGAAATAAATTTATAAGCAAAATACTTTAATTTTACTTATAAACAGTACAGTCAAACTTCAGTTTTCAAACATAATTTGTTCCTAAAAGTTATTCTAAAACTGAAACAAATTTTTCCATAAGAAACAACATAAAATGGATTAATTTATTCCTGACCTTCAAAATAAAGCTTTTTTTTTTTTTTTAGTTGTATTCATACGTAAAAATGCCTACAAATGCAATGTAATATTATATATAATAAATTATTGTCATTTAATTTGACTTAAGCATTTTTAAAGGCTAATTCTTGGATGCATTTATATTATGTGAATGTCAATTAATGTGGTTTTTATTAATTTGATTTAAATTCAACTACAGCATGTAACGAAAAACAAAATTAGTATATTTTCCTTATGCATATTGAAATTTAATTTAAATAGCAATGTCATTGATGATTTGTATAATGATATATAATAATGCAGGCAATCTCAGCTCCACTAACTTCTGAATGAGTAGTTCTGACGCTGATTGGTCAGACCATCGACTTTAACATAGGAAGTAGGGAATTGACTGTCTGTGTCTCTTTAATCTATGGTTGGCTCTTGCCAAGTAGCTTGTATGGCAACTGAGGCAAACATGAGTTCCAAAGTCTGTTCATGAACTGATTTGTTTGAAAGTGAGTTGTTCAAAAACCGGGGTTTGACTGTAATATTTTAAGTATTTAATAAATTTTTAACTATATATTCTTTGAGTCAAGGCTTCTATTCTTGAATTTTTGACCATTTATACAGAATTTTAAAATTTAATTCTTACTATTTAATGTACAGTTATTTTTATTAATTAAAAATATAAAATTTATGTACCATAAGAATAAGTATTATTTTTTCAAATTGATTAATTTGCTTAAATATATAATAAAGTGGAAAACTATCTTGATTTTAATTTCTGAAATTCTTTATTGTATTTGTCTAATCTCATTAGTCATAGGAGGGGTCATTATGTTATGCCACAAGCTATATGTTTATTACACTTACTCTTTTTTAATTGCTAGATAATGATATACAACTGTGTATTACCTACCACTATGATAATTATTTAAGTTGGTCAAAAAAATTAACATGGATTACCATTATATAATAAGAAGAGTAACTAATTTTTAAATTAATCAAATATAATGCCAGATTCATCAGGCATTATTATTTGGCTAATTAAATGTTTAGATTCAAAGTAATTTGGAACTAAACAATATAATAGGCAAAACACGGTGCAAACCTGTAAAAAATATGTGAGGTATACAGTAAGGATGTTGTGAAAGAATGTGTGTGCCAGAAGTGATTTGCAAGATTTTGTTCCAGAAATTTTTCCCTTCTGGTGCACCAAAATCAGGTCAGCTAGTTGAGATTGACAGTGATCAAATAAAGAATTAGTTCACAGTAATCCATGCCATACAATGCTGGATATTGCAAATTTTTTTCAAATAACGAAATCAAGCATGGAAAATCATTTGCATCAACTTGGATAAGTCAGCAAAATTGTTATTTGGATTCCATACAAACCTAGTGAAGACACTCGCATCAGTTGCATTTCCATCTGCAATTCTCTTTAAAAACATCAGGAAAGTTATTTATTTCTGAAGCAAATGGTGATGGGATGAAAAGTGGATTGTTTACATCAAAATCAGTCATTAAAAGATCTTGGGGAAGCACAGCAAACTGCTGCAAACCACTTCAAAAGTTGGACTTCATCCAACTTTTGAAGTGGTTTGATTTGATAGGATTGGAAAGGTGTTTTATTTTACAAACTGTTTCTGAAAAACAAAATGATCAATTCTGATGTATACTGTGACCAGCTGGACAAATTAAATTCAGCTATTTGGGAGAAGTGTCCAGAATTGGTGAATTGCAGAATCATCTTTCACCATGATAACACCCAGCAACATGCATCATTTGCAAATTAGCAAAAATTGTCAAAGCTTGGTTGAGATGTTATAATACCTCATCCTTCGCATTCACCTGACCTTGCCCCTTCTGATTGATTATCACTTGTTTTGCTCCCTTAAAAATTCTTTAAACAAACAGCAGTTCATTTCTGATGATGACATAAAACAGCAATTGGAACAGTTTTTCACCAAAAGAATACTGAAAGTTTTTAAATGAGATATTATGAAGCTCCACAAAAGATGGCAAAACATAATAAAAACTCAATATATTATTGAATAAAATTTATATTTACTATTAAAAAAATTATCTTTTATTTTCACCTAAAAAAACAGATTTATTGGCTGACCCAATACTTCAAAGCACAAAAATAATAAAAACAAACTTGTACACAGGCTACAAACAAACAACAATACAATATTTGCTCTTAATGATGACTCATTAAGAAAATGGTTATTCACTAACTCACAAGTACAGTAATGTACTTGTGAGATAGTGAATGACATTAATATTATCTCTCCCAATGCAGTAATGAGTCAGATGGTATAACTGGAAACTCATAATGCAGAAACTACCTGTATATTAAATTTATCTAAATAGATAATTTCAAGTTTTTGTTTGCTGAATAAAATAATTTAATAAAATTTATTTTATGAGAAATATTTTATTTTCATAACTGTGCTGTTATAAAAAAGTATATATAGATTATATTAAAAAAATTTTTAAATTTTTATATTTATAATTGGAAATATATTATAATGAATTAATGATCATAAAACCTTTTATATATTTCTTTAGCTCTTACAAAGTGTAAAATGGCTTGCTGAAAATACTCAAATTATTCCTTACTTAACAGCAGCATATTTAAAAGATTTTTTGGAAGATGGAATTACAAAATTTGTTTTTAATTTGGTTTATAGTGATCTGGGAGAAAGACACAAGCATTGCATTTATCATCAGGTAATACTTTAATAGTATATTGTATATTGTTATGTTGAGATTATGCTGAATATTGAGGACCTATTTTTGCACTCAGGTATTCACAGGTATGGATACATACATCCAATTACCTAGATAATAGCTGTGTATTTTATACCCAGGTACTTGTTTGAAACATTACATGTACATAATGAAAAATTCTAATGAATTATTATATAACACAAAATTTCTAATGAATTTAATTATTTTCAATGTTTAAAAGATCAATTTTGTAAACTAATATTTTTAATTAGTTTACAAAACTATTAATAGTTTAAAATAAAACATTTTGCTATATAAAAATAATTCATTTTGTTACTAATCCACAACCAAAAACTATACAGCTTCAAAAAAGAAGAAGAAAACTTTTTTTAAGCTGGATTTAATAATAGATTATTAATGAATAATATGTTACCAAAGTATAAATTTATTAAATTTGTTTCTAAATAAAGTTATTTAATTTATAAGAATGTTAATAAACTCTAAGAAAATTTAATTCAAAATTCATTTTTTATTGTGAAAAAATTATTACACTCCTCAAAAATGAAATTGCGCCATGAAGGAATGCACATTGCAGGACCAATAGAGGTGAGAGACACATGCAAATGATTAAAAGAAGAAAAGGGTATGCAACAGACACCTGTTTATTCAGTAATGAATATGGCCACCACAGGTAGCTATACAGGCTGCTATATGACAATGCACACTATCAATGAGGCAATTAATGGGAATATGTGCTAAACTAATGGGAGTAGAACCAAAGCTGTCATTGTTGTCAACACTCGTGAGTTCATATACCAAGGTTTGTTTTATTTTGAGGTTTTCAAATTGTTTGTCAATCTAGTCGATGTCCCAATATCAAATGAAGGATTTTGTTCTTCCTACCCATTTATAAGCACTTTCTTATCAATTTAGTTTTGATCCCCAAAGCAGTAGCTATTCGTCCTATGTTGATGACTCATTCAGTCTTAATCTGATCTGGAAATTTGTCCTTAAAGGCTGCTATACACCATGGGTTAATCCTTTGAGACTGCCTGTCCTTGAGGAACTTCCGAATTTCCTATCGCCCAAAAACGAAGAAAACCTCTCAGCAGAGGGTGGGGCAGCTTGCCCCGGGCGCCACTGGCAGAGGGGAGCCTAATGGTTTCCAAGAATAACAAAATTTGTTTCTGGAGGGGGAGGGGCGCCAATATAGTGTCGCGGCCCGGGTGCAGTTACGTTCGCTACGTCATTGTGTTTATTATTACGCCACTGATGTTTATTGGCAACAAATTCTATTAAAACTCGCGGGAAAAAGTATGCATAGAAGTCTATGGTGTAAATAGTAGTAGTAGT